ACTCCCCCTCAAGCTGGAGCATATATATCTATCATGTCTAGCTTGATACAAATATAGGTTACCCTTTTTCCAACTAGAGATATAGTAAAGAAATTAGCTAGTTGTTCTCCAATTCTAACATGCTTAGTGGAAATTAATTTCTGTTCAAGTTTCTCTCGCGCAAAATGACAATTGACTTCTATATGCTTTGTCTGCTCATGAAAAACTGGATTGTTGGCTCTATGTATGGCTGCTTGGTTATCACACCACAAGTCCATAATCCTTGGATCACCAATTCCAACTTTTATAAGGAGATATCTTGTCCATACAAGTTACTTGTGTCATAGCTCGGTACTCAGATTCTGCATTTGATCTAGCTACAACAGGTTGTTTCTTACTTTTCCAAGAATAAGATTCCTTCCAACAAAAACACAAAATCCAATCACAGAACGATTGTCTACAGATGATCTGCATCTGAAAATCCTTCTACTTTACTGTGGCTATGATTACTATAAAGGGTCCCACGTCTAGGAGCCCCCTTGAGATATTTCAAAATACGAAGAATCACATCCCAATAAGGTGTCTTAGGAGATGACATAAATTGAATTACCACACTCACTGAGAAAGCAATATCTGGATGAGTTAATGTAAGATAATTCAACTTTCCAACTATTCGTTTGTAACGCTCTGGATCATCAAACACCTCTCCATCCTCAACATTCAATTTTACGTTAGGAACCATAGGAGTATCACAAGGCTTGGCTCCAATTAGACCAGTTTCAGTCAATAAATCTAACACATACTTACGTTGAGACAAGAGAATCTCTCTCCTACTTTGAGAAACCTCAACTCCCAGAAAATACTTTAAAGAGCCTATGTCTTTCGTGTGAAATTTGGAAGCCAAAAAGATTTTCAAACTATGAATACCAACGCTATCACTACCAGTGATTACAATTGCATCAACATAAACAACAAGGAGAAGAATACCAGAACTAGATTGTCTATAGAAGACAGAATTATCATAGACACCTCTGTGCAAACAAAATTCAGTCACTACATCACTAAATCTCCCAAACCAAGCACGTGGAGATTGTTTCAAACCATATAAAGATTTCCTCAGTTTGCATATCTTTCTAGACTCCCCTTGAGCAACAAAACTTGATGGTTGCTCCATATAAGCCTCCTCAAGAAGATCACCATGAAGAAAAACATTCTTGACATCAAGTTGGTGAAGGGGCCAACCATAGGAAGCTACAAGAGAAATAAATAACCGAACAGAGGTCATTTTAGCAACATGAGAAAATGTCTCCGAATAATCAATACCATATGTCTAAGCATAACCCTTAGCAACCAACCGAGGTTTCAACTGAGCCACAGACCCATCAGGATTAACCTTCATTGTGAAAACCCACTTACACCCAATGGCCTTTTTATCACCAGGTAAATCAACGAGATCCCATGTACTATTATGCTCAAGAGCCAACATCTCTTCTTCCATAGACCTTCGCCATCCATCATGAGCAACTACTTTATACACTGAACAGGGAACCGACACAGAATCTAAAGAGGCAACAAACAACTTGGAAGATAGAGACAATGAGTTATAAGAAACAAAAGAGGAAATATGATAAGTACAAGAGCGTTTACCTTTATGTAGAGCAATTGGAAGATCTAGGTTAGAAGGAGGAGGGGCTAGATCCGGGGGCAAGGCAGGCAGTAGGGGCAATGTCTTAGGTGTCTTAGATGCTGATACTAGTGCTAGTGCCAGTGCCACTTGCTATGGTGGAGGGCTGTGAGAGTATATCTGAGTGACAGAAGGACGGGACAGGGGTGGCAAACTATAGCGAGTAATGGTATAAATAAGAAAATCATCAGTGACCAGAGAAGAAGATGGAATGCAATTATCAACATAAGGAGTAGTTTCGAAGAATGAAACATAAGCCGACAATATACTTACCTAAAATAGGAGAAAAACAACGATAGCCTTTTTGATATCGTAGGTAACCCAAGAATATACACTTGAGGGATCTAGGGTCTCATTTGGAAAGATAAGGGCGAACGTCTTGAACAAAGCAAGTACACCCAAAGATTTTGGGAGCGAAGGGGAGCAAAGGTTGAGAAGGAAAAAGAACGAAATAAGGTATTTGTCCAGATAGAATAGATAAAGGCATACGATCAATTAAGTAACAGGCAGTAGAAACAACATCTGCCCAAAACTCTTTAGAGACTTTCACATGAAAGAGAAGTGTACACGTGACCTCTAACAAATGACGTTTTTTCGTTCAATAACTTCATTTTGCTGAGGCGTATATACATAAGATGACTGATGAATAATACCCCTGGTGGACAAAAAAGAAGAGAGAGAAGCAGAAAAATATTCTTTGCCATTATCACTTCGCAAAATTTTGATAGATGAAGCAAATTAGTTTTGTATCTCAGCATAAAAGGCACAAAATATAGAGAATAATTCAGAACGATTTTTCATAAAATATAGTCATGTAACACGTAAAAAATCATCCACAAAAGTAACAAAATATTTATAACCAGATTTAGATAAAACGGGACAAAGACCCCAAATGTCAGAATGTATAACATCAAAAGGAGCAATAGGTCGTTTATTTTTTCTAGGACTAAAAGACACTCGATGGTGTTTCCCAAATTGACACGCTTCATGGTTAAGCTGTGACATTGACTGTAAACTAGGACATAACTTCTTCAGGATTAGAAGAAGAGGATGACCAAAACGACTATGGAAGAGAGAGGAGGACAAATCATTGGTACATGCAACATGTGGCAGAACTAGAGTAGAGATGTCATCAAGCACGTACAAGCCAACTGAGACACGACCCTTACCAATAATCTACTTCATCCCAAGATCCTGAAAGATACAATGAGTAAGGAAAAAATAAACACCACAATTAAACGCAGTAGTGATTTGACTAATAGATAAAAGATTAAAGGGAAAGTGAGAAAGACACAGAATAGAGGAGAGAGACATAGATTTGGTGGGATTAGCAGTACGACAACCCATCATCGATACAGTAGACCCATTAGCTAAAGGAACAGAAGACAAATTAGAAGAAGGTGTAAATGAGGAGAGAATACCTGTATTACCTGTCATATGGTGCGTAGCACCAAAATCAATGACCTAGTTATGATTAGAAGTAGATACAAAAGCTGTCGGATTACCTAGCTGAGTTAATGTAGCAGCAGTTGGTGGAATGGATGACTGGGGGCTAGCAAACTGAGTGAGGCAAGCATATTGATATGTAGATATAGTAACCTATGAAAGAGTAGGTAAAATACCATCTTGAGCAGGCAACATGAGCATATTTCTGATTGCTCGACATAGTTGGAGGGTTTCCATGTAACTTCCAACAATTCCTTTTAACATGACCTTCAGCACCACAATGGAAGCAAGTACGAGGACCATTACCATTGCCACGAGTACCCCCGATATCCCGACCAGCACCTTTGTTGCCTCTACTACTATTAGACTTCATGCTAGCAAGTGCCGCATGATCTGGAGCAACATTCTGAAGAGTCTCCCTGTCTTTAGATGCTCCTCTATCTTCCCCTTTACTAACCTAAAGAAGACGAGTATAAACCTCTATTAGGGAAGTAAGTTTGTCATTGGTAAGGAGTTGTGTTCGAACTATCTCATATTCTAGTCTTAGCCTAGCCAGAAAACACTACACCACCACTTGCTCTTCTTGTTCTTTCATTTACACAACATTTGCAGTCACAGGGAATATAACTCATTTTTCCTAAAAGGCTTGCTTCACCTCTGTATAGTATTCAAGTAATGTCTTCTTTTGCATATTTGCTCGATAAATCCGCAATAACGACTCATGAAGATGAGACAAGTTTTGTTTACTAGCATACAAAAACTCTAGATACTCTCATAACTCTTTAACTGTATCACAATGATTAGTAACATCATCCACTGTGGAATCCAGAGTATTCTAGATCTGATTAAACAATTTATCATCCTCCATGAGCCATTTCTTCCGAATTCTCTTAACACTCTAATTTCTTATCACTACCCTCTGGTTGCTTATCACTCTCTGTTTGTGGAAGTGAATCCGTAGGTGGATCCTCAGTCAAATGATCCCCTATGTCAATGCTAGAAACATATCTCCTAATAGCTCGTCTCTATTGAGCATAATTCTACTTTTCCAGTAACTTCCTATCAGTAATCTTTGCAGATGAGTGGATTGAAATTTCAGTCACCACCTGTTTGCCTTCCACTGCCATAACTTAATCAAACCAACAATAATTCTCTACTAAGCTCACAGACAAGATCACCTCTAATCACCAATATCCAATAAACCTAAATCACCAATTCACAACAAATTCATGACTCAAATCCAACAGCACAACTAGAACAATCATCAAATAAACATAAAAAAAGGAACACTAATTGGAAACTACAGAATAATAAAAACAGATCACTAACCGGAAACACGATCGGAAAACAGGAGACGCGACAGACTTGGTCACTGGAAAAAGTAACAACCGTGAACAATGTCTCGCAAATAGTATCGCATGAATAGTGTCACATGAATAGTGTTTATGAATAGTGCCGTCGGCTGCTAGAACAAAACCCTAAGACCAGTGCTCTGATACCATGTGATAAAATATTCTACTGTAGTTTATTCAAAAAATCAAATAAAATAATATTACACCCTATATATATTTTCACTACTTTGCATTTACACATATACCCCTAACTCTATACACATAACTTCTATCAAACTTTTTGATATAATTTTCCATACATTGTCCTTTGCATGTAACCACATAATTATTTAATCATATACTGTCAACTCTTACTTGATTAAATAATGCATAAATCTAGTTTACAATAATTTGTGTTTTGCATCCTGTCTTCAAACTATGGCCAAGACAAATAAAACGTATACGAATTTAAACCATCAATTTTGATCACGTTTGTCTTGTACCCTTCTTATACAAATGACTTCATATTGTAAAACAGTATGGCACCAAATACCTTAAACTAGGAAAAATAAGATCTGTTATTTAGTTACTAATGGCGACTTCAGCCAAGTATCCAAACGTACTATTTTATTTGACGTGGGTTTGCAATTTCGATCAAATACTTCCTCCTAGGTCAATCTGGAGGTTCAAGACTTACATCACACATTTTGACATTTTTGGTTGGAACTTGTCCTGTTATTGTAAATGTAGGATTTTGCAGAGTACAAGTAGGAAACCAATCCAGCAGCACCGAGTCCAGCAAGAAGCCAATATAAATAATTAAGACGTGCCCTGTTAAGATTATTAGCAGCAAACCAGCTTTCATGCCCATCTCCACCTGTTGTTTTCTCAATGACTGATATGAGGAAGCTGCTCAGAAAGCTCCCAACACCAAAAATACTGAGATATAAAAGAGAGACCAACACTCGTTAATTCATTTGGAACTTGACCACCATTCTGAAAGCATCAGCAACACCAGCCAAGACATATTGAGGAATCAACCAACACACTCATTGGAATTGTAGAAACGTCTCGACTTTGATCTCTGAAGCATTGTGATACCGGCCGGTTTCCCAGTGAAAGCTCTTGCTTTAGGAACAGAAAAACAATCATAAATGGGAATGGTGAGAACAACGGCAAGGGTGATGAAGGATTTAAGTGAAGCGGCTGGTATGTTGAAGCCTGGTGAAATTGACCGTTCCATAGTAACACCTTCCCATATTCATCTGGTGTGGTGTAAGCAATGCTTTATTGAGGAACCTGCGTGAGATTCAGACTATTTCAGCTTAAAAAATAAATTACAAAGCTTAGAATTGTAGAAATGATCAAATATTTCTTTTCTTACCTGTATTGTCAAAATATTCTTGAGGAGCTAAGATGCCATGAGCTTCCTCTCAAACTTTAAGAGCCATAGCAGAAGGTGTAATTTGCCTCCAATTCCTAACGGGAACAACAAACACCTGACCAATTCTCACAAACGGGTTTTTCTTGTCACCTAAATTTATACTATATGGATAAGTATTAGTTCCAAGCAAGAAAACAAGAAGGGCAAATGCCATTGAAATACAAGGGATTCCGAATCCAAGAGCCAAATTCAGGTTGTCTTGGATGTAGAATAAGATCAAAAAGGCAAATAAGGAGGCTGCACATAACCAAAAATACCACCAGTTGAAGAATTTTCAGTTTACATTAATTCCTCAGGATCAGGATCTTGTCCACCAAACTGATCAGCACAGACAGCCTGAACGCAAGGCTTGTGCTCACCTTGTCCAATTGCTACCAGATATAGAGAGAAGAAGAATAACATTTCTGGGAAGTTATATTGAGAACTACATGAACTGATTATATTTATGTTTTGGCAATCAGCAGTGCTAACCGAAGGTAACATAGCTGATGAAGTCAACAAGCCCAGTCCCTGCAGATTATTGACATTCAAATCTTTAGAGGAATTATAGAAAATAATACTACTGTTTTATGCCATACCAACACAAGCTGCTGTTAAAAAGACAAGAATTTGCCTAGTAAAAAGACAACACAAGTCCTACTTTACATAAATTCCATATTTGAAAGCTAGCTTGGCTTATTATAAATGTAGGACTTGGCAAAAATCCAGAAGGAAATCAATCCTGCAGCAGTGAGTCCAGCAAGAAGCCAATAAAAATAATCAAGATGTGCCTTGTTGAGATTATCAGCAAACCAGCTTTCATGGCCATCACCTCCTGTTGCTTTCTCAATCACAGATATCAGAAAGCTGCTCAGAAAGCTCCCAACACCGAGGATACCGAGATATAAAGAGAGTCCTATGCTCCTTAATTCAGTCGGAACTTGATCATAGAAAAATTCTTGAAGACCAACCATTGCGAAAGCCTCAGAAACACCAGCCACGACATATTGAGGAATCAACCAGCACACACTCATTGGAATTGTCACATTCGGCTTATCAATCAGTCCATATTCTTCAGCAGTTTTAAGCCTCTTCATCTCAACTAAAGCTGCAATCACCATTGACAAAACATATAAAAACATCCCAGTTCCAATTCTCTGAAGCATTGTAATGCCAGCAGGTTTCCCAGTAAAAGCCCTTGCTTTAGGAACAAAAACAGAGTCATAAACCGGAATGGTGAGAACAATGGAAAGGGCGATGAAGGATTGAAGTGAAGCAGCTGGTATTTCAAAAAATGATGCAACTCGTCTGTCCATGGTAGCTCCTTGCTTCGTAAAGAAAGTTGAAAACTGCGCATATACTATGCCATAGACCAAGCTAGTAATCCATATTGGAACAAGCCTGAGAAATGCCTTGGCTTCCTCAACTTCGCTGATGATACACACCTTCCCATATTTTTTTGAACCTTCTGATGCAAGTAAGGCTTTATTGAGAAACCTGTGAAGAGTTAAAGTATGATAAATCTAGTTACACACCTGCATGTCATAGTAACAACAAATAAATATCCTACTAATTCTCACAAGTATTTTTCTTACTTGAATTGCTCAGAACTTTCATGGGGCAACTTTTCATGAGCTTCCTCTGCTTCAACTTCATGAACTAAAGCAGGAGGCGTAGCTCGCCTCCCGTTTCTGACTGCAACAACAAACACTTTCCCAATTCTCAGAAACGGACTTCTCTCATTCCCTTTGATGCTACAGCGATAAGTCTTACTTCCAAGCAAAAAGACAATAAATGCAAATGCCATCGAAATACATGGGATTCCGAACCCAAGACTCCAATTAAGGTTATCTTGGATGTAGGATAAAATCAAAATAGAAAATAAGGCGGCTGTACATAACCCAAAATACCACCAATTGAAGAATGAACTTTTCAGTTTGCTTTCCAAAGGGTCTTTCCCATCAAACTGATCTGCACCAAAAGCCTGAACGCAAGGCTTGTGCCCACCTAGTCCAATTGCTACCAAATATAGAGAGAAGAAGAATAAGATTAATCTGAATTGATATACAGAATTACATGAAGTGATTTCGTTTGTGTTTTGACAACCAACAGTGCTGACTGAAGGTAACATAGCCGATAAAGTCAATAATCCCAGCCCCTGCATATGTCAAACATAACCAAATTTAAAACATTCTAAAACTAAGCATAAGGGAAAACCCTCAGAGTTCATTAACTAACTTCAGATTATCTTTGTTTCCTTTTAGAAAACTGTTACTTTTGTTTAGATATGTATAATTTTAAGCAAAATTCGGTGTAAATAAATATAGTTTCAGAAAGAATCTAACCAAGCAGTATATAACAGAAGCGAATATAATAGTCCGGTAACGTCCAAGGAAAGAATCAGCAACAAATGCTCCTAAAAGAGGCAGCAGCATGGCCATACCTAACCAGAGGTTGACGTTCTCCGCCGCAGTTGCCGTAGACTGACCCAGAGGTCCAGTCAAATAGGTAACAAGGTTGGACTGAATTCCATAATAAGCGAACCTCTCAGCCATTTCAACTCCAATAATGAAGCGTGCAGATCTCCATCCACCAGAGCTGGCTCTGTACACTGGACGGCCTTTGAAGTCAACGCACCCATCTACGGTAGCTGCCACAACCGGAGTTTCAGTGTCTGAGAGGTCGGAGATGGACATTCTTTTCTATTTTTTTTTTTTTTTTGGAGAGATTATCGATGAGGTGTCATTTTTTTCAATAATGGGCAGATAATCTGGAGAGGGCCACTTAACAGTTTACTTTTTTTCAAACCTAACCTTATGGAAGGATATTACTGAAATATCCGTTTCACTTAGAAAATATATCTCAAACATGTGAAATACAATTATGCCCCTATGAAACTTCTAAAAATCAAATTAGAAAGCACTTGATTTATGAAATATTGTATTATTGAAAATGTTATATTAATGAAAAAATAGATTATCTTGAATATTATTGAAAACATTATATCAAATATATTTAATTAGATTGAAATAAATTAATGGGTATAAATAATTAATATATTAGGTTGGGAGGAATAAAAGAATTACATGATTTTTTAATATTAATAATAATATAATATAATATAATATAATTATGATATGTTATGTTATATTGTTAATAGTATTACACTCTTATATTATATTATTATATTCTTAATGATATTATATTTCAAGTAACGGGGATAATTACTATATTTCACTACTTCCTGAACTGTATGCATGTTATTACTTAATCCAAATGCCCTATTCTTACAATCGAATCAGGCATTCAATTTATAACTCTTCAGATTTCATGCCTTTGATAAATTATAAGTCTGATGAAAAATTTTGTTGCCTGTTTTTTCACTGGTTTGCACTTTGGATTGCCGAACTGAACCTAAAGTGATGAGGGCATAGAGGGTTGTGTTTCTCAGTCGGAGAAAATTTTCTAACATGGTGAGTTGATTTCAATTTTATATATTCCAGCTGAGAGAAATGTTGATACGAAAATCACACCAATCCGATTGACTTTGGAAGAATTGGAACCGATATGTGCGTGATTTAATGATAAACAACCAATTGAAAGTAATAATGCAATAATGTTACTGACACAAAGAATTTTTAAAGTGGTTTAACGAGTTAGAACTTGAGTCTACGTCCACTGTTATCTTATTGCTTTTGATAGATTACAAGAATAACAATAAATTTTCCTAGAATAATTTGTTAACCCCTACCTCATCATTGAAGAGAGTTTATATAGAAGTTTGTGACGAAGGAAATAGAGAAATTATCAGGATTGTAATCAAATTCAAGTTACAATTCCGATATTCCCGTGATTGAGTGCTAAGATCGCACTATCATTGCTATTAATCTTATCTCTTCCGAAATATTTGATATTTGAGCTTATTCCTGATTTGTTGAACAACTGTCAAAGTTGGTCATGACTAGTTTGTGCTGGGTCGAGCTATCTCTCGATGAGCTTATGATGGGTCAGACTAGTGTTGAGTCGAATCGATTCTAGGTCGAACTATATCCTCGCGGGCTTCTGACTTCTCTGAACTTAATAGAAAAATCACACACAATAAGAAACATACGATGTTAAAATAGAAAAAAAAAAAAAAAATTAAATGAGTTGCAGTTGTTGAGCTTATGTGCAACTAAATGAAGAAACTTATTGGTATGAAACTTGAACAGTAGTAAATTAAGCACATTTGGGGCTGTCATTTCTTCTAAGAATGAGTATAAAAGTTTCGTATAACACTGTTAGAACTGACCGAATGAGATACAAATTGTCTATGTTATTCCTCTTTTTTTTGGGCAAATATTCTGTTTATATTCTTTTTAAGTGATTATTTTCTGAATCTGTATTCGACCATTTCTCCTCGTATTTGCACGTATCTATAAAAGGACTACAAGACAATTGATTAGTTATAAATTTGTGAAGGGTTATTTGGTTACAATTATTGCCTTTTGGTAATTTGTTAGTTTACTTTATGCAAGACCAGATTTCAGTTGCAAATGATCTTATTCAACTTTTTTATACTCATTTATTATCTGGCTATTGCTTCCAGCCACTAAGAAACAGAGCACTACTTAGATCCTTCTGGAGTAATTATAATAACTTGAACATAATACAAATTGTATGTAATCTGTTTTTAATTTTTAATTTTTTTACTTTTTTATGGTTGCAGCTGATGCCCGAGGTCATCATTAATATCATTCTATTTAAGACTGAATTATATTTACTATTTTCACAGACACTTCTGCCACCTAATCAAGAATTAGGCTTTCAATTCCATTAAAATAGTATCATAGCCCCTGTTTGTTATACTATTATAGATCATTATTCTCTTATCTTATTTGGATTAAAAATTAAGATAAGTGTTTGTTTACTTATTTAATCCAACTTAAATAAGATTTTTTTGTCTAAAAATGAAAAAGAGGGTGTGACTTGTTTTCAAATTATCTAACTCTATTCAACTGAAAATATTTTTCTTTCTCTCCTTCCAACTGAAAATTAATCTGCTTGCCAGTAACCACCGTCGACCATTAGTCACCGCCGTTGCCACTAACTGACACAGTCAGGATGACACATTACTAGTAAGATCTAGCTGGTCGTATGTTGATCAGGTTATATCTGGCCAGACCAACCAGATTCTAGGTGAGATTTGGCCGTAGATCTAGCCATTTTTGACTAGATCCATAGTGGATTTGGTCGGAAACGACCATATCGACGCATGACCAGTCAAATCCAGCAGATTTTGCACTGTTCTGGCGACTACCGTCCGGTAGTAGTGGTCGGCAACTGGCTGCCCTATTGGGTGGCTAGAGTGCTTTTGTTAATTTTTAAACTTTTATTGCGAGAGTGTTTAGCTAAATTAACAAAAGTAAGGGGTTAAAAAAAATAATCTAAATATTTTTAGAAAATATACTAAACAACTATTTTGTCTTAAAAGCAATTTTTAGAAAATGTACCAAACAACTATTTAGTATTTTATCCAACTATGATATAATTTTCAGATAGTTTACCAAACACATTTTCAGATTAAAATCCAATTCGATTTGGTTCAACTCAACTCAATTTAAAACACTTGTTCAAAATAACATTTTTAAAAAAGTGTAACAAACCGGCCCTATACATTTTGAAAATTTTGGTTGGATTGTTCATACTTGTAAACAGATAATTGCTGGACCCTACAATTTTTATTATTCTTTTTTAACAGGTTTTACATCAGATAAATTTCGTATTTGAAAACTAAGTTACCCTGTTATTATAAATGTATGAGCTTGCAAAATACATGCAAACAACCAATCCTACAGTACTGATTCCAGCAAGAAGCCAATAAAAGTAATCAAGATGTGCCTTGTTCAGATTATTAGCGAACCAGCTTTCATGCCCATCTTCACTTGTTGCTTTCTCAATCACAGATATAGAAAGCTGCTAAGAAAGCTCCCAACACACAAAATACTTAGATAAAAGTAGACCAACACTCCTTAATTCAACAGGAACTTGATCATAGAAGTTCCTGAGACCAACCATTGTGAGACCTCGAACACCAGTTACGACATATTGAGGAATCAACCACATACGCTCATTGAATTGTCACATTCGGCTTATCAATCAATCCAATTCTTCAGCAGTTTTAAGCCGTTTCATCTCAACTAAAGCTGCAATCACATGGTTAAAATAGATAGAAACATCCCACTTCCAATTCTTTGAAGCATTGTAATGCCAGCAGGTTTCCCGGTTAAAGCTCTAGCTATAGGAACAAAAACAGTCATAAACTGGCATGGTGAGAACAATGGAAAGGCTGGTGAAGGATCGAAGTGAAGCAGCTGGTATTTCGGAAACTGATGCAACCCATCTGTCCATTGTAGCTCCTTGCTTCGTAAAGAAAGTTGAAGATTGTGCAAACACAAGGGCATAAACCAAGTTTGTAATCCATATCGGAACAAGCCTGAGAAATGCCTTCGCTTCTTCACTTCTTTAATGCTACTCATGCTTCCATATTCCTCTGAATCTTCTGGTGGAAGTAAGCTCTATTGAGGAACCTGCAAGAGTTCAATTGATAAAAACTAGTTACATAAAGTTAAAGAAACAAACAAAAATTCTCAAAAATATTTCGCTTACTGGAATTGGTCGAATTTTCATGAGGTAAGTTTCCATGAGCTTCCACTTCTTCATCTTTAAGACTAAACCAGGAGGCATAGTCCGCCCCCAGTTCTTGACTGCAACAGCAAAGACTTTCCAATCTTAAAAAGGGATTTCTCTCATTCCCTTTTATGCTATAGCGATAAGTCGTGGTTCCAAGCAAGAAACAAGCAATGCAGTGCCATTGAAATGCAAGGGATTCCGAATCCAAGAGCCCAATTAAGCTTTTCTTGGATATGAATAAGAAATAGGCAAATAAGGTGCCAGCACATAACCCAAAATACCACCAATTGAAGAATGAACTTTTCACTTTGCACTCCACAGGGTCTTCTCCATCGAACTGATCTGCACCAAAAGCCTGAACGCATGGCTTGTGTCCACCTTGTCCAATTGCTACCAGATATAAAGAAAGAAGAATAAGATTACTTGAAGTTATTTTCAGAGCTGACAGAGGGTACATAGCCTAGAGTCAAATCCCAGCCCCTGCAGATTGCAAAGAGTACTAACTGAAATTTTCTACAGAAATTAAAATAAAGAAGATCTCATATTTATTAAGAGATGTTTAATTGGCAATTGGTTGGCAAATTTGAAATTATATGACCATAAATTATTGTGACACATGTGCAGGAGATGTCTATGATTTAATATTTGCATTAAGATTATAATAATTAATAAATGAGCTATTAAAAATCTCTAATATCTCAACTCAACAAAATAAAAAAAAGATAAAGTCGAGTCACTTTAAATTTTAACTTGAAAGTGAATTCCACCTTGTTGGACATCATTTCTTTGTTGAAACGATATAAAGTCTTTTGATCAAATGCTTCGTTTCCATAAGAAAAAGGTTCCACATCAACAGTTCTTCGCTGGGCAGAATGGTTCAGTAAATATTCCTTCACCACATAAAATAAGAACATAAATATAAATGAAGAACATGTACATAATAAAGAACAAGAACTAAATGAAAACAAAATATTAAACATGTTAAGAACAAAATTAACACAATAAATTAAAACTATATCGGATATTTTGCTATCTATACATTTTCAGAGTATTACAACACCCTTGAGGTTGAGGAAACTTAGAAATATGAAAGAA